CAAAAAAGATATTAAGTGAAAAAGAAAAAATTGAGAATATATGTGAAAGAAGATAAAATGAGATGAAGCTCGAGTGACGTATAGTTCAAAGCAATTGGGTAAGAGAGGAAGAGAGTGAGTGAAAGTAAGACAGTATGTCTCTCTCTCTCTCTCTCTCTTCGTGTGCGGGTGTGCGTGCGTGAGTACTCGCGTGCGTGTGTTTGAGTTTCTCTGTGTTTGTGTTTGTGTTTGTGTTTCTGCGTAAGTGTGTGCGCGCGCGCGCGCGAGAGAGAGAGAGAGAGAGAGATGGAAAGAAAGTGAGCGAGCGAGCGAGCGAGAGGGACGAAATGAAGAATAAGGGTAAAAGGTGCGTGGCAAAAGCTGATGTTTGCTGTATATATACATAGAGGTAGGCTTTACGTACTCCCGTGGGAAGCCATTGTCATCCCCTTGCGGAGTGCGTCCGGTACTCCATGGAAAAATCAAACGCATACTTTCAATTTGTATTCTCTCCCTCTTGTCAAAGCTGCAAAGAGACCGAGGCATAACCTATATCTTGAGCTTTTTTCCCTCCCGCCCGTCCGTTCTTTGTAAACTCTTTCGCCCCCTATCGAGAATTCTGAAGACCGTATTCTCTATTTTTTATCACTCACTCCCTGATTTCTCATATTTTCAATTTTCGAACAAGAATGAGCTGAGCTGAAGATGTATCGTTAACATTAGTTATTCGAGCAAAAGATAAGGCTTATGACCAATTCAAACAGGCCTGACGCTTTCTCGTGGTTTCTCGTCAAAATAAGTCAACACAACTCTGTAATTATTCTTTACACATATTCATTTTTAAATATATTACAAATAAGTTTGTAAATTAATTTTTATTTTTAATAAGGAGAACAACTATTTTCATTTATATCACGTTTTTTATTCGTCGTTTCAACGTCCTAGTCCACCGACAAAGAAGATTATATCTTTAATTTAACGGCATCGTTTAAAAAGGCTTTGCCGAGTTTACGGAAAAGCCACGAGCCTCAACTTATTCGCAAAATTATTAGCGATAAAGGGAGTAACGATGGAGTTGGAGCCCTAAAATCACACGGTTATCTACTGAAATCGAATCTAAGTAAACATAAGGCGGCAAAAACGAAAGAAGGAAAAAAGGAAAAAAGGAAAAAAGGAAAAAAAGAACGTACGGATTTTGCGCACAATCTACTTTTTCATTCTATGGCAGCAACGGCGGCAATAGTAGCGGGAGAGCACTGCGAATTTAATTTCGTTTACTTTTAGAGCGCATTAAGATTCTATCGAGATGTCGGATAAGGTATATACAGTAGTATTCGTAGGCATTGTATACGCTTGGCTCGAGCTTATCGGTGGTGCGAATCTCGCTCTAAACACCATGTCTCTCTATCTCGACCCCCGGCATCTCCACTCTCGTTCTTCGCCACACTATCGTTTACGAAGATGTGCGTATATGAGGCTCGAGGCAGCATTAAGTCGACTACATTAAGACTCGTAGTGATTTATAGGCATTTGACGTGGATTCGCCGTGGCACGTTGGCATGTACGATCGCTCGCTGTTTCAACAGACACCAGAAATTTTGAAAAATCTCCTAATAATTCATTCACCAATCTCCCATGATTTTACCTTATATTTTCTGAAAAATCGCAACTCCACGTGTCCTTTTAAAAGCAAGCCCCAAGCCATTGCTACAGCTTTATGTTTATATCGGTGTCAATGATTGATGGTGCTCGTTGTAATATTACGTGTAGAAAATTGAAAAAGCAATGATATTTGAACTCTGTTTGCGTAGTCGTGCATCTTAGCTGAGTTTCCCACGACTTTCCAACTTCGATATTTCGATTATTTTACATATGTTACATATATGTTATGCTCGTAAATAAAACTTCATTTCCAGATGAAGAGATAGAAACGAAATTAGCAAGCGCGAGAGGATAGGGAGAACATAGCTGCTTTTCATTATTAGCTTCTGCTATCGTCAACAACATTAGCAGCGAGGAGAAAAATAATAATAAGATACTAATTTTCGTTATAGTAATTCCGGGCTGATGAATGTCAGCGGCATCAAGAAAAATTGCAAACTGTTATACGATATCGCATAAAATCCCCAAGATTATTGTCTTAGAGGTGGCTGTCAGGACCGATTTGCTGCCGATGAAAATTCTCCGATGAGCCAGGAGAGCTGGATAGTCGAGTTAAAGAAAAAGAGAGAGACGAAAGACGAGAGACGAAAGACGAGAGACGAAAGACGAGAGACGAGAGACGTTCTAGGTCGAAGACAGATACGCGATGCTCTCGAGCCGTTTGCCGAGGGTCGGCTAATCGCCAATGACGTTCACGAGAGTGTCACCTATTTTCGCGCCTCTATAGCAATGCTCTCTTTGTTTTTCTTACGTCTGGCACTCCAAATCCCCACTCCCTATATCCTTTTTACCCCTTCCCGTATCCCCTCCCCACCCCCCCTCCCCACCCCCTCTCACCCAACCGCGCCAATCTTCGGGCTATCCATCTCGGGCATTAAGCCTAAGAAGGTATTGGCTGTTAGGGGACTAATGGATTGTGTTACGGGCTGATTCAAATGCGAACTGGATTTCGTTTTCGCGCGAGCAGCCAACGGAGCGGTTGGCGAGGCGAGGGCGGGTAAAATGTATGAAGGAGTAGGACAAGGTAATGTGGATGAGGTGGATGTGGGATGGTATTGGGGGTGGTGGAAGGGAGACGAGGTGGAGGAGGAGGAATGCAGCACGGGGATATCGATGTATAGTGCGCGGGTGTTAGTTTCTTTCCCGTTGGGGAATAAACTCGATTTCATCCTGGCGTCTATTAGATTTTTATCCTTCTAACGCGAGCGCCGTGGAGTCGTAACTACGCCGTGCACGAGACATTTCGGATGGCACGCGAGACGCTTGACGAGATTTTTGCCAAATTAGGGGTGGATTGCACGGCTACCGTTGAGGGAGCGTTTTACAAGGTCGGAATTACCCGTCGATGAGAGAGGAAAGTATATAAAGACTTATTCGACATCTCATACAAATTTACGCCTCTATGATCTATACATTGAGGCTGAACCTGACACGCGCTTAAATATTGCAAGATGAAAGGTTTTCACGAAGCTTTGCATATAGGCGAGTCCACGAGACTTGAAAATGGAATTTTCACACAAGAGCCGAAGCAGTTTTAATGACGAAAGGGTAAATTTTACAATGCGGTGATTGACGTGGGAAAACAAAACAAGGCAAAACAAAACAATTAATAGGGAGCGGGAGGGAGGTAGAAAGAAAGCTAGATAGTTGCGTACATTTCGA